AATTGCTTCCAAATCAGACTTTCTGGGCTTCCATGTTCTTGGCTTTAGCAAATTCTGAGCCTAGAAAGCAACTGTTTCTATGGTTATCCAGAAAATGAAAACTACTATTTAGAATAAGACCAGACTGCTTCAATCAGAGGTGAAACTGTTTATTTAGGAAAAATACACTAATCGTGTTGAACCTCATTGTGAATGCCCACCCTACCCCACCTCTGGCCATAGTCTGGAAGAATATGGAAAATTAGAAGTGACTCGCTCTACACAACTAAGTGAGGAGGACTTTCCATCCCAGCAGGCAACCCAGGCAGGATGATGTGAAGAGAAAAGTAAAAGCTATGAGCTCCAAGAAGGAAGGCTAGTCCTGCCCATGTAACCAACCACTAGGAGGGAATTTTAGGAGGACAGTATCTAATGTTCAGTTTTCGGTTGCTGCCTATCTGGTGCTATGCTGTAATCCCTTCAGTTCCCACAAAACTCCAATAAAAGAGGAAAGGAAAGTAACAGCAGAAACCAGGAGCACTGTTCAGGAAGCATACTGCGGCATGGACAAAGACAATTGAACTCCACAAAAACCCACAGGTGGGATTTTTTCCACAGCAGTATCTTATCTGGATTTTGAAATAAAGGGTGATGCCGGAAAATGAGGGGACTGGGACAAATGCACAGCCACCACCTGGGTTACATTTGAAGGATCTGTCCCTACACAGTGGAGAACTACTTCTTCCGCGTGACGTCAAACATCCCTATCATCTCGTTGTCTCTAACGTTATCGTACCATTGTCTGGTGCATTTAGCTCCAGCTTGGGTCCCATTCAGTACTACTGTGTTCTCTTCATTTATTATCCAGGTTACCTTCCACTTCTTAGACAATTATGTCTACTACGGGGCCATGTTTCTGTAAAACGGTGACCGAGTCCTGATGTGCAATCAGAATAACATTCATCTGTGCAAAATAGAGCTGAATTTCAAAGGAAAAGAGAATTTAAGTGTTTTTTCCTTCAGTATTTATTTCTCTCAGTAGGTAGCCAATTCAAACAACACTCCCTCTTCATTAAGACCAAAAGTTAAGTACCAAGAAATTCACTTATTCCATAAACATGGATTGTTCATCAGTCATATGACTGGCACTGGTAGGGACAGGGCCATGAAGACAAATACTAAATGGTCACGATTTAGTTAGGGAAAGAGAAATGAAAACAGAAATAGAGGTCTGTGTGTACACAATGCTAGGACAATACAAGAAGGTATAAAGGACTCAAGCTTGGGGAGATCCAAAAACTTCCAAAGAAAATGACAACTGGAGCAAGTTTTTAAGAATTCATGGGGGTTCTCCAAAGCAAGAGCAGAGAGAGGGCATTCCGGGAAGGCAAGGGCACAAACCACCACTTGAACAGGACTGAATTCCCTGTTATGTAGGGAAATCAGCAGGAGAAAAGGAAAGGAAAGGCAAGCAGTGTTGGGATTTTGAAGGTTCTTGCATGATTGAGAATGTTTGGCCTATAATCTATGAATGATGGAGATCCAGCAAAGGTTCACAGAGACTGGAGTGATTAAAAAGATATGCTGCTTTAGAAGGATAGGTTAGAAGGAGATAGTAATGGAATCTGGAAGTCCAAAAATCTGAACCACGGTAGCAACCACAGAGGGCCAAGAAAATTGCATTATTATTATTGGCTAGGCACCAATAGGATACCTCTCCTTTATCCTTTCCCCCTCAAGCCTGGTGGCTTAAATCTACTGTAAACTTGCCTAAGGGAAGACGATGAAAACAAACAACAGCAACAAAAAAAAAAACCTCACTTTTTCTTTTTCCTTGGACAGTTCCCAAATGAGGAGTTCTACATCCAAGCAATTCTTTCTGCTTTCCTGCATTTTTAATTACTTCCTGGAGCCATCTGCATTAATTAGCTCTACAACTTCTTAGATTTCCATCCCAGTTGCTAAGCAGAAGACTTTCTGCCTCCACTAAGACTTGAGAACCCCAGGGCTTGGTCTGTAAATGGCAGTGAAGGAATGAAGACAGCTCCATTCTGAGTTCAGAGAGCAACACTGTTTTCATAATCCCAAGCTAAATTCACTTGCAAACCTCATCTCCCCCCTCCCCACCTCACCACTACCGCTGAACTTCTGACCTTTACTGCCCTAGGCAATCTCTGGAAAGCCAAGCTGTCATTCCTGTCATCTATACAGGAATTCCATCCAAATGATCTTTTGCCAAATCCCAGGGGAGTTTAGAGATCCTTATGGGGGATTTGTAAAGCTTTGTTGTTTTTAGATCAAACTTCCTCATTTTGTTTCTCTTCTTTCACTTGGCCTTTGGGGGAGAGTTCAGCAGTTTGATGGTGAGTTACTGGTTAAATATCTCATCCTCAAAGGGCTCTCTTGGGGTCTCTCACGAATGCTAGAGATGTTGGAAACCACCTCTGTTGACTCAAGATGGCCAATGATGTACTCAATGAAGACTCATCTGCTATACCTGGACTGTATCTACACAGGTTAACTTATTTAAGAGGAAAAGTTAGGTTTAAATATTGTATGAACATTTTTTTTATTTTTTATGTTAATCACCATACATTACAACATTAGTTTTTGATGTAGTGTTCCATGATTCATTGTGTATAACACCCAGTGCTCCATGCAGAACATGCCCTCTTTAATACCCATCACCAGGCTAACCTATTCTCCCACCCCCCTCCCCTCTAGAACCCTCAGTTTGTTTTTCAGAGTCCATCATCTCTCATGGTTCGTCTCCCCCTCCAATTTCCCCCCCTTTATTCTTCCCCTCCTGCTATCTTCTTCTTCTTTTTTTAACATATATTGTATTATTTGTTTACAGAAAATTAGTTATCAGCTATTAGATACAATTCAGCTTATTTTTTTTTTTAAAGATTTTATTTATTTGACAGAGAGAGACACAGCGAGAGAGGGAACACAAGCGGGGGGTGGGGGGAGAGGGAGAAGCAGGCTTCCCGCTGAGCAGGGAGCCAGAAGCCTGATGGGGGCTTGATCCCAGGACCCTGGGATTGTGACCTGAGCGAAAGGCAGATGCTTAACGACTGAGACAGCCAGGCGCCCCTCAGCTAATTATTTTTTAAAACAACTAGCTTTTTTAGAAAAATTAACCGTGTTCTGTAGTTTAATGTCTGTGCGTGGATATCTCTTTTGTACCACAGGTACAGTTAGGAAAAGGATAGTTCTGACCAACGCTTCCTTTTTTTTTCCTTTGAATAAATATCAATGCCTGTGAGTTCTACTTCATGAAATTTTAAATAGTTAGTGCCAGAAAGACCCTGAACAAACATCTGAAAGAATCTCCTAAAGGTACAAACGGGCCGCTAAAATCTAGAGAGGTTAAGTGACACCCAGGATCACACCAGGAGTATGTGGGAGAGCTCGAATTCTACCCAAATGTCCTAGTTTTTTGTCCAAAACTCTTTAGCTACATTTCTTCTTTATTTTTTTAAGAGATTTTATTTATTTATTTATTTATTTATTTATTTATTTATTTATTTATTTGAGAGAGAGAGAGAGAGATAACGAGAGAGAGCATGAACAGGGAGGGGGCAGAGGGAGAAGCAGACTCCCCACTGAGCAGGGAGCCCGACGCAGGGCTCGATCCCAGGATCCTGGGATCGAGCCCGACGCAGGGCTCGATCCCAGGATCCTGGGATCGTGACCTGAGCCGAAGGCAGCTGCTTAACTGACTGAGCCACCCAGGTGCCCTACATTTCTTTTTAAAAAAAAAAAAAAAGTCTTTATTTATTTAGAGCAGCTGTAGATTTTCAACAAAATTGAAAGGAAGGTAAGAGATTGCCCATATGCTCCCTGCCCCCACAAATGCATAGCCTTTGCCATCACCAACATCGGTCACCAGAATGATACATTTTTTACTAAGGATGAAGCAACACTGACACATCATAATCACCTAAAGTCCATAGTTTACCTTAAGGTTCACTCTCGGTGTTGTACATTCGTAGGTTTAGACAAATGCAAAATGTACCCATCATTAGATCATACAGAGTATTTTCACTGCCCTAAAAATCCTGTTCTCTGTCTACTGATCTTCTCCCTGACGCCCCCCACTCCTAGCAACCATTGATCGTTTTGTTGTCTCCATAGTTTTGCCTCTCCCAGAAAGGCACATATAGTAGTCTCCCACCTTATCTGTGTTTTCGCTTTCTGTCATTTCAGTCACCCATGGTCAACTGCTATCTGGAAACAGATGATCGTCCTTCTGACATAGAAGCCTAACGCTATGTCACATGCTTATGTCATTCACCCCACCACTAGGCATCTTATCCTCTCACACCCCCATAAGAAGGGTGAGTACACTACAATAACATATTTTGAGAAAGAGAGACCACATTCACTTAACTTTTATGACAGTATATTACTGTAATTGCTCTCTTTTATTATTAGTTACTATTGTCAATCTCTTCCTGTGCCTAATTTATAAATTAAACGTCATCATAGTATACAGGCTGCTGCACTATCCGAGGTGTCAGGCATCCCCTGGGGGACTTGGAATGTACCCCGAGGAAAAGGGCAGACTGCTACAGATGGAATCACACAGAACGCAGCCTTTTCACATGGGCTTTTTTCACTCAGTAATACGCATTTTCACGTTTCTTCGCTGTCTTTTCCTGGCTTGATAGCTCATTTCTTTTTAGTGCTGAATACTATCCCGGGAGCCACACTCAGCCGTGGGGGGCTATCGTTCCCAGGTCGCACTGACACGCCCCGCCCCCGCCCGCGTTCCACAGGCGTAACTCGTGGGCCTGGATCCCCGTGCTGGCGGTAGCGAGCCCGCTGAGCCCTCCGCTTCTCCAGCACAGCGCCGCTCCCGGTGGCCCGGCCCTCCAGGCTCCGCTGCCATTCGCATGGGGTGAGACTGGCCTGAGCTGCGGGAGCTGGAGGTCCCCCGGCTCCCGGGCCCCCCTGGAGGAAGACCTGGGGGCGCTGTGCCCGCCTGCCGGAGGGCAGAGCGGCCAGCCTCTTACCTGCCAAGGCCAGCTGTCTTGGTGTCCGTGGGGCAGGGGGTGCTTGAGCCTCACCCCCACGCCGCGGTGGTTGCGTTTTCTCCGCGCTGTCTGGTCCACCAATAGTCGTTGGCTGTTTTTCTTGGGAGGAGGAGCCAAGTCCGCAGCGGCCCGTGGTGCCATCTTGGTGACGTCATCCCTGAATACTCCGCTGTGGGGCTGGGCCACAGCTTGCTTACCATTCGCCGACCGAGGGACATCTTGGTTGCTTTCACGGTTGGGTGATCGTGAATAAAACTGCCATAAACATCCGTGAGCAGATTTTCGTGGGGACATGTTTTCAACTCCTTTGGGAGTTGCACGATTACCCGATCATATGGTAAGAGTACGTTTAGTTTCAAGAGACTGCCAAACAGTCTTCCAAAGGGGCTGTACCGTCTTGCATTCCCAAAGGCAATGAACAAGAGTTCCTGTTCTCCACCTTCTCGTCAGCATTTGGCAGTTGCCAGTTTTCCAGATTTTCGTCATTCTGCTTGGCGTAGAGAGGTATCACATTGTTGTTTTAATTTGCATTTCCCTGATGACGTATGATGCGGAGTACTTTTCATATGCTTATTTGCCATCTGTGTATCTCCTTTGGGGAGGTGTCTCTTAAGGTCTTTGACCCATTTTTTAGTCAGCTTGTTTGTTTTCTTAATGTTGAGTTTTAAGAGTTCTTTGTATATTTTGGATAACGGTTTCTTTATCATGTGTCTTTTGCCTACATCTCTGTACGCACAAAGTATATTTTCTTTGAAGTCCTTAGCAGAAAAAGCAAAAACAATTAAGCGATCGGTTTAAGACTTCCTCAAATAATCCTACCCATCTGTGATAATATCCTAGTTACTAAACAGTTGTGAGTAATTGTATGGATTTGTGTGTTTCTATGTGCAGCCAACCCTTTCTTTGTGTTGATTATGTGCCTTGCACAAGGCTGGGCCCTTGAGATGACACAATCCAAGCTCTTAAAGTTTCACAGTCCAGACAGTAAGACACACTAAAATAATGGATAACTCATGCTCTAATCCTGGGACGGGAGAAGTTCTGGGATACAGAGAAGAGAAGGCAGAAAAGTGAAGGGAACAGTTTAGGACTTTGGCTTATGGCTAGGAGTTTTCCAGAAGAGAAAGAAAAGAAAAGGCATTTCAGGCAGAAGCCAATGTGAGCACACAGAAAAGCTACAGATGTAGACTCAGGAAGAAATGGGTATTAGTCTTCCGGAAAGTAAACTGAACTTGGTTCCTGCCACCCCTACTGAGCTGCATGCTTTCTGAGGGTAGTTACTACTAAATTAGCTGTGCCCATCTCCAGTGACCTATTCAGGGCTGGCCTATTTTTTTGACTATAAAATGATCTAAAGGAGAGAATTCCTGCTCAGAGGGTGCCCTCTCTTGGTAAGAGGTCACAAAGGACATTTCTCTCCCAGAAAGAAATCTATATATTCCTTTTTAGAATTGCCTACCTTCATTTTCAGGCAAACCTAAGAAAAATGCAATTTCCCTGACAGGTGGCTTCAGTTAACAATCAGAGTAGGTGTAGGAGAAAGAGCCACATACTGAGAAAAATTAAGGTCCAACAGGCTGAGTGACCTTAGGCCTCTGAGATTCTGTTGATAAAATCAGTGCACCACACTAGATAATTTTCATCCCCCCTTGCTCTGACATTCCCTGACTTCTAGAAAATATGACTTATTGTATCTTGACTGAATATAAAATGCTTGTTAGTTAGACCATATCTGCAGGAGTTAATGGCTCTGAATAAACTGGAGAGTCCCTACCAGGAGAAAAACATTGTTTCTGGCGGCGGCTGCTTTGGTCTCTGAATTTTCCACAGCAGCCAGAGACAACTGGCCCGAACGATTTTCCCCTTCTCTTCTTCCCACGTTTTTGGCAGTAAAAAGTCTATCTGAGATGGCAAATAATGTAAATGCAGCAGAATCACCAGGCATTCCTGAAACACGCCCCCACCACCATTTTAAAGTATAAATCTGCCAAACAGCACATCCACCAAAAGTCACCTTTTGAGTGCGTTATGGGATTCAGAGGATGTCTTCTTCCTAAATGATTTCATTTTTCAGGCTTCCAATAAAATGAGCTCACTTGTGCTGAGGGCCAGCCAAATGAGGTGAGCCGAGAAGAGATCCTTGAAACTTGTGGGATCTTGGGATTTGGGCATTCCCCACAGATAATTCTAGCAAGTGCATTATAGGGAAAACCAGTTCCTGGGAATGGAGAAGAGACTTGAGAGTACAGAGAAGGGGAGAAGTGAGACCCATGTAATGTGCGGGGGGAAATTATTTTTTCCATTGTTGCCAAAAGAATGTCACTGGTGATATAAAGAAGTGGAAAATGAGAAAACTCCACTATCATCCAAAAACCACTTGTCCCTTTCCTGCTCTGCCTGGGAAGGAAAATTGGACCGCAAACCTCAGATTTAACACGGGGTTGTGGTCTTCTGGTGCCCCCTACTGTCGGTGAGGAAGACTGCAGCTGCCTCCACTGAGCGAAGAATGAGACCAACCCAGGATTTGGCTGCCCGCCGGAGACTCAACAACTAAGTGATAGGAAGAAAGGACAGAAAGAGGGAGCAGCAGAGGGAGAGAGGGGACAGGACATTCTCAAGGTCCTTCCAAGGCTGGAACCAGGGTTGAGTCTCACCGAGCTGGAAGATTAAAGGGTGCAATGTCTTAAAAATGCCCAATGGTCCTGGCTGGTGGAGCGTGTGACTCTTGATCTCAGGGTTGTGAGTTCAAGCCCTGTACTGGGTGTAGATACTGCTTAAAAATAAAATCTTTTTAAAAATGTCTAATGGGAGGCGCCTGGGTGGCTCAGTTGTTAAGCATCAGCCTTCGGCTCAGGTCATGATTCCAGGGTCCTCGGATAGAATCCCATGCTGGGCTCTGTGCTCAGTGGGGAGCCTGCTTCTCCCCCTCCCTCTGCAGCTCCCCCTGCTTGTGCACTCACTCGCGCTTTCTCTCTCTTTCTCAAATGAATAAATAAAATATTTTTTTTAAATGCCTAATGGAAGGCAGCTCTTGACATCGGACTGGCACTCAAAGAAATATGATGAATAAAAGAGGCCAAAAATGAGAGAGAGAGATATCTTAACTGGGCAAACTGTGTATCCCTCCAACCTGCCATCTTAACAGAAATGTCTGGTTTTGTCACTCATCTAAAAGTTTTCCATAAGTTATATCAACCCTCTGGATATTTTCAAAAGGCTAAGCTAAGAACTTATCCTTGGAGGCCAGAGGCTAGGAAATCTAAATGTGCAGAGAAATCCTTCCATAGATAGGAGAAGATCTATAAAAGGGGGAAAGGTGCAGGAATTAAAAGAACAGGCTCCAGAGCCACTGCTTAGATTCAAACCTGGGCTCTGCCACCTAAAACCTCTCACCTTGGGCAACTTTCTCACCCTCTGTGCCTCCATTTTCACACCTGTAAAATGAGGTGATACACCTTCACAGAGCTACCGTAAGGAATGGCTGGCTCGGTGCACATAAGGCAGTCAGAAGAGAGCCTGGCACGGAGCAAGCCCTCAGTCAGCGACAGTTACTGTGGTGATGCCAGGGACAGTGGTCCCTGCCTCTTCAGGGTCCTTCATTATTTCAGGGTTGAAGTCCATCTAGCTTTATACTATCACTTCTAGTAACAGAACACCATTCTCTCTTGGTAATAATAAACTTTCTGGAATCACTGGACCCTTAGACACCTTTAATGGATTCATGTTTCCCATTTGACTTCATATAAATAGACCTAGGCACTTGAAAGACCAACTCAAAATATGATTTTCCCCTGAAACTAGGCGTATTAGTTTGTTAGGAGTGCATAACAAAATACCACAGAGTGGGTGTCTTCAACAACAACAAAACATGTTTCTCATGATTCTAGAGGCTAGCATTCCCAGATCAAGGTACTGGCAGGTTGGGTTTGTCCTGAGGTCTCTCTCTTTGGCTTGCACATAGCCACCTCCTTGTCGTGTCTTCGCATGGCCTTTCCTCTGTGTGTGCACATCCCTGGCGTCTCCCTATGTATCCAAATCTCCTCCTATACAAGGACCCCAATCAGATTAGATTAGGGCCACCCTAATGGCCTTGTTTTAGTTGAATCCCTTCTTTAAAGGCCCCATCTCCAAATACGGTCACGTTCTAAGGTACTGAGGACTAGGGCCTTCAACATATGAATTTGGGAGGGACACAATTCAGCCTGTAGATGGATAGCCTATACCTGGATATTTTTAATATATTTAATATATATTCCCTATATATATTAGGTCCTTTCTCCTCATTGTATTTTCTCCAATCCCCTGTCAAGGAGGTTTCTTCTCATGACCATCAATCTCATAATAAACAGTTTGAGACTTTATCAAGGCAGGATGTGTATTTGTAAATGGCTCACTCATCCAGATACATACTCACTGCTTCCACTGGGCCGTGCTCTGGGCAGTCAGTTAGGATGCAGCGGTGCCTGAAACAAACTTTCTGCCCTTGTGAAACTTGCCTCCTAGTAGGGGGGTGACACATCTAACACTTAGGGTGTGTCAGATGGGAACATGGGCTGTGGAGAATAAAGAAGCCAAATAAGGAAGAAAGGGAGTGCTTTGGGCGGGGAGGAGGACTCCTTTATAAGGAGTGGTCACCGAAAGCCTCTCTGCTAAAGGCCAAGTTTTCGCAATGACCTGAGGAATTCAGGGAACAAGCTGTGCAGGTAATTGGAGGAGGAACGTTTCAGGCAGATAGAAAATCAAGTGCTAAGGTCCTGAGGTAGGAGTGGCTTGGAGGGTCCAAGGAACACAAAAGTGGCTGGCGTAGAGCAGGTGGGGGGAAAGAGGCTGGAAACAAGTGGAAGGAAGTACCTTAGGCCACCTTGCATGTTGGCTTTTGCTGGAGTGAAATGGGAAATCATTAGAAGGTTTTGAGCAAAGGAGTAACATGATCTGACTCATGTTTTTAAAGGCTCACTCAGGTTATTGTGTTGGTAATAGACTGGGTGGGGCCCTGGAGAACCATGAGCAAGCAGACTAACGGCAATAGTCAAGTCAGAAGGTAACCGCAGCTTGATGCAAAGTGAAAGCAGTGAAGGTGGTAAGAAAGGTTTAGACTCTTGAAATATTTCGAAAGTAGAACCACCAGGATTTTCTGTTATTCCATCTGGTGTTCATATTTCCCTCTCGGTTGCTATTGG